CAGCCTCTGGGAAAATTGAACGATACAATGGACTGTTAAAGACTATGCTGAAAGCAATGGGTGGTGGAACATTCAAACACTGGGATACACATCTAGCAAAAGCTACCTGGTTAGTCAACACTAGAGGATCTGCCAACCAAGCTGGCCCTACCCAATCAAGCCTCTTACATACTGTAGAAGGAGATAAAGTCCCTGCACTGCATGTAAAATATACGCTGGGGAAGACAGACTGGGTTAGTCCTGCCTCAGGTAAAGGCAAACCCATCCATGAGATTGCTTTTGCTCAAGGACCTGGCTCCACATGGTGGGTGATGCGGAAGGATGGGGAAGTCCAATGTGTACCTCAAAGGGATTTGATTTTGGGTGAAAACAACCAATGAACTGTATGATGTTAATTGCTATACAATACAGTATGTCATTTTTACTATTGCTGTATGTCCTATCAATGGTATAACAGTAAGAATCGCCCAGATTAAGAAGAATGAATGTTGAAGAAACTGAGGAAGTGCAGCGGATGGAACCAGAACTGACTCCAGTATGCAACAACCTAACATCAGACTCCATCTCTCCTGCCCTGAAAGACTGTTACGACAGATGGAGCCCAAAACCGTGGACTAGATGAACCCAATGGACATTTTAGAGGGATGGTCCATGAATGAAGGGAATGATATCTGTGATATGTGTATATATATATATATATATATAAAAATGGGGAGGTGGTGGTGATTAATTGGAATGTATTGAAAGGGTAGGACCTAAGCATGACGTAAATGGGATAGAATAAGGGGTGGATACTGTCCTGGTTTCAGCTGGGATAGAGTTGATTTTCTTCACAGTAGCCAGCATACGGCTGGGTTTTGGATTTAGTACCAGAATAATGTTGATAACACGCTGGTGTTTTCAGCTGTTGCCAAGTAGTGCTCAGACTACTCAAGGACTTTTTGACCTTCTTCTGCTCGTCCAGGTGCATAACAAGCCGGGAGTACAGCACAGCTAGCACAGCTAACCCAAACTGACCAAAGGGCTATTCCATACCATATAACGTCATGCTTGGGGGGGTTAGTCGTTCGGTCGCGGGCAGAGTGGTCACAGCTTGGGCTGTGTGATCGCAGCTTGGGGGGAGTGATCGCTGCTCGGGACGGGCTGGGCATCAGTCAGCGGGTGGTGAGCAATTGCATTGTGCATCACTTGTTTTATATATATTCTGTATATTCTCTTACCATTATTATTATCACTATTATTATTCTTCTTTCTTATTAAACTGTCTCTATCTCAACCCACGGGTCTTACTTTTATTTCTTTTCTCCGATTCTCTCCCCCATCCCACAGAGGGAGAGGGGGGAGTGAGCGAGCGGCTGCATGGTGCTTAGTTGCCAGCTGGGTTAAGCCACGACAACTATGCTCTTGGTTTAAAGAAGGATAGTGTGTGAGGTAGAAAAGTGCAGCCTTCAGTCACCTGCTGGCGCTTGAATTTTCTTTTAGGGCTCTGAAGTGTAGTTGACCTGTACAGATACACCTCAAGATCACTTAATTAGCTATATATATATATTTTAATGAGCAGACAAAATGGTATACTTACTTTAAAGCAGAAGCTGTAAGAGGAAGATTTAGTTTACTAAAGCCTCTATTTTTCCCTTTAAAGTGGATAATACAGTGTTGATAAAAGCTGGGTAAAATGACAGATTAAAGAAAAAAGGTTACACAGTAAGGCTTTTACAGTAGCAGATGGATATTAAAATTAATTACCTTTTGAGACAAAGCATCAAAAATACCCCAGAATAACTTTCTCGATAAATGAAGTTCTTCTTCAGAGGCTGCACCAAAGTTACCCCATCCACCTGGCAAACAATAGTACTTCCAGCATCTTTCATAATGATTTGTCAGCAACTGAAACAGAACATATTTTGAAAGCAAATAAAATGTAACTGTTGATGTTCTTCCATTCTGGCACTCAACCATTACACAGACACTGACAGAAAAATTTCTAACTTCTATTAAGAAGCCATGTTGTGTATCTATTCTTTAAATCATTGGTGGATATACACACAGAATGAGCAGTTCTTTAACATTAGTGGCATATGTAAAAAGCATGTGACAGAGGATAATTTCCCCTAACACCACAAGAACTCTGACAGCTCAGCTGAAGAATTCACCTCCGTCTGTGTGCCACTATTCCAAACACTGCGGCTTGGTGGGTGAGATAGTAGAACCATGATTTCACCTAGTTCCTAATTATTATTTACATGTCTGAGAGCTATTCAATAATAACTCTATTCTGTGAGTTGAAAAACCTGCTATCAGTCTACCCTCCTGCCCTCTATTACAATTGGCAGAGGAGCTTTGTCCTCCCTCTCTCTCTTGCATTAAATACAAATTACAGGGATACTCTCTTCTTAAGTGGTTACATGATTCCAGGTATTCAGGGACTCAAATGGTGCAAGGACCTGCTACTGGGTATTTGCCAAACTAAAACATCACCATTTTTGTGCTTAATATGTCCTCTATGTCCCCGAGTCACAAACAAGAAGAGGAAAAATTAGTGGTACATCTGTCAGTAAAGGCAATACCAAACAACAAATTCTGGCAATAGCAAAGTATGAAGACCTAGTCCTACTCAGGAGCAGATTTCCCTAAGGCACAGAATGATCTTTCTAAAAAAATTAGCTTGAATTTTAATTCAGAGCTTATGTTAACAGTTCCTCAGAGAAAAAGAGAATTGTTTCAACATCACTTTACAAAGCACGCTGGCAAATATTACAAGTCACAGTCAGTAAAGAGCCGACAGGATTCCCTTTTTTTCCAGTCAGAACAAATGCCAAGATGGAAAAATGCAGATATTCATAACACAAATGTGCAGAAACAAAGACAGGCATTAAAAAAGGTCCTGATGTATAGAAGTGAGGATTTTGATAACCAAAAATATAATCTCAATACTGTGCAGTTCTGTTATACTTTTCATGGACCATTTAAAAAACCAATTGTCCTGGTTTCGGCTGGGATAGAGTTAATTTTCTTCACAGTAGCTAGCATAGTGCTGTGTTTTGGATTTAGTACCAGAATAATGTTGATAACACACTGATGTTTTCAGCTGTTGCCAAGTAGTGCTCAGACTACTCAAGGACTTTTTGAGCTTCTCCTGCTCGGCCAGGTGCATAACAAGCTGGGAGGGAGCACAGCTAGCACAGCTAACCCAAACTGACCAAAGGGCTATTCCATACCATATAACGTCATGCTCGGGGGGGGTTAGTTAGTTCGGTCAGTTCGTTCCGTTCAGTCGGTCGCTCGCGGCTCGGGGACTGCTTGCGGCTTGGGGACTGCTTGCGGCTCGGGACGGGCTGGGCATCGGTCGGCGGGTGGTGAGCAATTGCCTTGTGCCTCATTCGTTTTGTATATTCTGTATATTCTGTTATCATTCTCATTATTACTATTATTATTATTCTCTCTTATTAAACTGTCTTTATCTCAGCCCTCAGCTCTAACCTTTTATTTTCTTTCCGATTCTCTCCCCCATCCCACTGAGGGAGGAGGGGGGGGGGGAGCGAGCGGCTGGGTGGTGCTGAGTTGCCAGCCGGGTTAAACCACGACACCAATCCATATAATGCGTTTGCATATCTTCAGATTTAAATAATTTATTATCTATTTACTATTTAAAATGTCAGATGATTAAAGAAAAAAGGGAGAAAAGAACTTGCATGCATATATAATGTAAAAAGACAAAAGTTTTATCATTCATGCAGTACGACAGGGGTCTCAGAAATATGGACTTTAAGAATCTGAGATGTATTTGAAAATGTTTTTTTCAAAATAAATTCTATTACACAATGACCAGATTTCAGGTTTGCTTTTGGACAACACATGAGTACTAATATATATGTTTATATTTTTAAATACAGCCAAGAGTAATGGCAGGTTTACTCTTAGAGCTAAGTCCTTAATGAAGCACTGAATATGACTTAGAATCATAGAATCATAGAATCACTTTGGTTGGAAAAGACCTTTAGGATCATCGAGTCCAACCGTTAACCTACCCCTGCCATCCCACCACTAGACCATGTCCCTAAGCACCTCATCTATCCATCTTTTAAATACCTCCAGGGATGAGGACTCGACCACCTCCCTGGGCAGCCCATTCCAGAGCCTGACAACCCTTTTGGTGAAGAAGTTTTTCCTAATGTCTAACCTAAACTTGCCCTGGCGCAGCTTCAAACCATTCCCCCTCGTCCTATCATCTGTTACAAGAGAAGAGACCGACCCCCACCTCACTACAGCCTCCTTTCAGGTAGTTGTAGAGGGCGATCAGGTCTCCCCTCAGCCTCCTCTTCTCCAAACTAAATAACCCCAGTTCCTTCAGCCGCTCCTCGTATGACTTGTGTTCCAGACTTATGGGGAAATAAAAACAAGGCAGCCCTATTCCAGAAAGTTCACACTGAATCATACAGGAAAAGCATCACAGATTTGAATTCACATGTTGTCTAAACTGAGGTAATTTTTAATTGTAGAAACCAGCAAAGGTATTCAGAGTAGGTAGCGCTATTCTGATTTAGCCTTCATTATTTCCTCCTCTCTTCCCATTCAAAATTATGTTTTCAGATGCATGATTAACTTGTAGCTATCTCTTTAGACTACTATAACCTGTTTCTAACACAAGCCCATAAGCAATATGTACAGTACTGTAGAGGGGTTTCTTGAACAACAGGGCCACAAAGTATTGTGGGAATACGTGGACAATCCAGGTTCTGTAAACAGTGTGTCCTTGGTACACTGAAACAAGCAAGAAGCTATGAGCTAAAGCAAAAATGCGCTGACCACAAGTAGAAACTAAGATAGCTGTGTTCTTTGTTTTATATATCCAATCAGTACTTGAGAATAAGCGCGTGGACAGTAAATCTTAAACCAATGAAAAGTATTACAGGTGCCGTCACTGTCTGAGGAGAAGCGCGTAGACAGCTAATTGTTAAGCATTTGTAACCAATCACTGAATAGCGTACGCGTGGCGCAGAAGCACTAAGACTATATTAACCATGTTGTAAGCACAATAAATCAGCATTTGCTTGATCATATTGATCGTGTGCAGTGTCCGTGACTTCCACATCAACACGGTATTTTCAATTCAGAAACACATTATTAGATATAAGTAGGAGTCCTTTGTTAAATCACTGAAAATCAGTTTACTGTCAGTGAAACCTTTGAAAATTTCTATCAAGTTCTCAGATAAAGAGTTCACTTTCCTCAGAAACTCCTGTTACTTGTTCAGGTATAGTCTCCAGAAGCTTAGCTTGCTAAAAGGATCTAATTATGATTTCCTTCTTGTTCAGTTCAGCAATATGGGAAAGTCACTGCAGTCATGACTCTCAGGATCAAAAAAATTGCTGTTCTAGATGAACAGATCACAGGGAGCTGTGGTTGTTCCTTCCTCCCTAAAAAAACATAGCTACGCAGAGAGCACCAAGTTACTATTTGGTTTTTGCAGCACATGAAATTCCATAATACATCAGAAAGGTCCCCTTCAGGGCAGTATACTAAATTATCAATAGCTTTTCTCAAACATAGGCACTAAAGAATGGCTGCTCTGGAGTCTCTAGTTTGATTGAGTACTTCTTGGGGGACATAACCAAACTATGAAGTGCTTGGCAGGGGAAAGACCATGCAGCAGGTCCTGGCTTTGAGACTTACAATTTAAATTCCTCATCTGAGGTCAGAGACCATAATCTGGCTAGTAGAAGCCTGCGTAGTTCTGAGGAGTATTTTGGCAAAGAAATCAGATGTAAAATGCAATTAATCCTGATATGTGGCTTTTAAAGCATAAAGAAATATCAAATAAGAAAAGATTAAATATCTCGTTCAAAGTTTTGGTGGGAAAGCACTGAAAAGGACTGCTGAAAAACAGCAGGAGGTAAGGTGGGAAATGGTATATTTCTTAGAACCACCAATGAAGTCTGAGTAGTCTTTAACAAATGTGTCATCTCAGAAAGGAAAAACCCACATTTTTCTTGTGCATTAGGAAACACAATCAAAAGATACAGAGAAACCTTTGGGGGCTGAAAACAAAATGGAAGATGATTAAAAAACATGTATTGCTTAGATTTCCAAGCACAAACCACAGAGAAAGAGTCTGTTTGCTAGGAGCAGGGAAAACCAACATAGAGGGCACAAGTAAGGGTACATACAGACTATTAATTGCTATCTTCCCTTGTGCACTTGATTCTGCCACCTGCCCCCAAGGGGTTTCCTATTCTGTTTCCACATGGGCTTAAAAAAAAAAAAACATTGCACATGGACTTCATAATTCTATATGGATGGATGTAAATTAGACTGAATTCCTTCTGCAGCAGGA